ACCCCCGCCACTCAGAGTTGCAGCCAAGCCGTCTGCCAGCCTTTGAAGTCAGCGGAGCGGTGGGGGTGAGGGGCTGAGCCCCCCAGCAGCCCCCGGCTCCCCCCCGTGCTGTGCTGGGGGGATGCACATCAAAGCAGGTTGCAGAGAGCAGCCAAAGCTGCTCCCGTGATGGCCGAGAGCAGAGCCCTCATGCCTCCACCCCAGGGCATCCCACAGCCCCTTTGGGTTTTTTTTACCCCCCCAATTGGCTTCCTGCAGCTGTGCAACCTCCGCATTCAGGGCAGGGGTCCCCTTCCTCCAGGTGACTTCAATTTACCAGATGGGTGCCACACGGGTGCTCTTTACCCACGTGCCAGCTCCTGCAAGGGGAGGCGAGGATGGGACACAGGGTTGATGCTGCGTCCTCTGAGCCCAAGACCAGCAAGCACAGGGCTCGGCAGGGCAACCGCAGTCACACCGGGAAGGATAAAAACACCCTTTAGTCTGGCTTAAAGCTTGACCAGCCTCCGGCCAAGGCTGGTTTTTCCCCGCTGCAGCAGGGCTCAGGCAGCTCCGCACCCAGCCTCGCTGCGGTCACATCCAGCCCCTGCTCATGTCTAAGCTGTGTCCCAGGATGGGGCGTGCTCCGGCTGACGGCTCCCCATGACCAGCTGCCTGCACACCCCGAGGCCGGAGCTCTGCTCTGTCCCGGGCAGCCGAGCGCCGGCGTGATGCAGGCAAGATTTGGCCAAAGGCAGCTGGCTCCTGCCTGCGCTCTTCATGAATCTGGACCCACCGCCGCCGTGCGCAGCCAAACCTGAAATGCACTGGCAGGAGCTGCGGCTGTCCTGGACAGACCTGCTGCCGGAGAGCTGCTCTCCCGGGACGCGGCTGGCTGGGGTCCCCCACATGCCCGGCAGCTTTGCGGTGAAGCCGAGCACCCACTTGCCTTCCTGAGAAAGCCAAGCCAAGGGCCTTCTTCATCCCTCCCTTGCCTTTTTTTTGAGGTTCAATGAGGTTCAACAAGGCTCAGTGCCGGGTCCTGCACTTGGGTCACAACAACCCCATGCAACGCTGCAGCCTGGGGGAGGAGTGGCTGGAGAGCTGTCTGGCAGGAAAGGACCTGGGGGTGTTGGCTGACAGCCGGCTGAACATGAGCCAGCAGTGTGCTCAGGGGGCCAAGAGGGCCC